GTTATGTCCGGGAGAATACGGTACCAGTACTGCTCAACATCAATTGGAAACAACCAACGGCAGCGTAGTATATTCTGCACCACTACTCATGCCACATACGGTATGCTAAGCTTTCGTATTTCCCTTGGCTGCGAGGAACAGAGCTGTTAACTTCTTCCTGGCTTACTGAGTTACTAGCTTAAATGCCGAGCGAGGAATTCCTTCTGATACTGGACCTACACGGAAGTGAATATCTGAGGGGCTGGCTTCCCTGCTTTCAATGGAATCAACAGACAGCCACAACATCAATCTTCTCACGTGAACTCCCTGCACGAAAAAGAGGGACAACGTCAAAGGTGACAACGGAATTCGAAGCACAATAAGAAGAGCTATCTTGCCTTGAGATTTGTGATTTTTCCGCGACAAATGGTTCCTCTGACTTCAGAAGAATAGCGGACAAGGTTTCCATGAATATTTCTTTCCACGCTGTGACTAAGTTTGACGTGAAAGGGCCCAGTCCTCGTGTTTGTGCTCTGCACGACCTGTTGAAGTGGCAATAACCCCGGAGGGAGTCCGTTTTCCTGCAAGAACAGCTTGAAGCTGAATTATCCACGCTTTCTATGCACAGAATGGGTGATCTCCAAGTTTCTGACCTGAAGTGTCTGAGACGCTAACGTTCCAGCGAGCTCGGAAGCCATACCAAATCCAGCAACGCCTGACATTGCAGCACTACTAGTATCCACTATGTCTTCGACAACAAGAGGCAGGATCGCCTGGTGTGAAGCACCAACACATTCTTGGAACAAATGCCATTTGATTCCCTGGGGCTCCGTCACGACGTCATTTCCAGGGACATCACATGGAACATCACGAAGAACATATTCGGCACAGGAGCGAGAAATGCTGGACATGACGGCTCTCGAGAATGCCGATTGTTACAAGAGTGGAACGACGTCTGCTTTTTTTTACCCCTGGCTTGCGTCAAATTCCGTCCGAGGCGCCATTTCACCCGCTCGGAGAGGCATGAAATTACGAGGACACAAGCCAGCTGTCATGGGTTGAATTGTACAGTGGCTGTAATATAGACGTTTTCAGTGCTGGGCATACCCGAATTTGCAATACTGTTTGTATCGCGGACATGAAGCATTTACAAATACAAGTTTCCTTATCTGCCGAATTTGTGATGTCAGCGCCACTCCCTTGTGGCTTCCTCCTATCATACTAACTAGACGGCGAGAAACAGATCGAGCACTCTGGTTCCTTTCGGTATTGTCACTCTTTCCTATAATGGCTTCGTAGCAACCATGGTCATGGGTACGCGGTGCGCGTGTATAGCTCTTTTTGCCTTGCTGGTAGTCGAAGCAGGAGCTTCAAGCTCCAGGTTTCCCGACGGAAACTCGACAGGAGATTCCGTTACGAACGACCGTTCCGTCATACGCCTGGCTCAAGCAGAAGGCGTCGATTCGAATCAACGTCGCCTTACTTCGAACCCTCCGCAGCAGCACGAGCGCTTCGAGCATACATCCTTAAATACCACTAAGAACTGCACTGGCTGTAGCAATGGTGACACGTCGGATGCCCGTATGTGCGCGTCCGTGCATCTTTTGCCGAGAAGCACCACGTCAGCAGCTAAATGCGAGTTTGTCAGACAGTACTGTACATCAGCAGGCTCCAAGTCTTTAATCAACTACATCGACCTTCACTATTGTATCCTCCGTGCACGCTCCTGGATCTCACTCCCTCTACTCCTCCTAGGGTTACTTTCGGCTCTTTTTCTACTCGCTGACACAGCTGACCGCTTCTTCTGTCCAACTGTGGAGACAATGTCCGCCATGCTCGGCCTCTCGCCCAGCACAGCTGGCGTGACGCTATTGGCGCTTGGGAACGGAGCGCCTGATGTGTTCTCATCTCTAGCGGCGATCGTTGGGGGGAACCCGAAAGTGGGGCTGGGAGCAGTTGTCAGGTGCGTGTGCAAGGTAGTCTTCATCGTGGGCGAGAGAATGTTCGTTGTATTATCGCATTAAGATAGTATCAAGTCGTTTGGTAATAAAGCGGCATGGGATGAGACAGTGATAGCATTGGCTTTGTATGCTTCAAGATTAGATGTCGAGTGCAATCGGTGGATGTTTCTTTCTGAATTCAAGTTCGTTCCTTTCCCATCGTCCCCGCTTCCAGTGCAGGCGCATTCGTCACGTGTTTCGTGGTGGGCTGCGTGGCAGTCACAGCTGCTCCCTTCCCCGTGCGACCGCGCCCGTTCCTGCGTGACTCGTGCCTCTTTGCAACAGGCGTGCTGCTACTGCTCCTCATATACCTCTCAGGCCACGTGTACCTCTGGCAGGCAGTTGGCCTTGTAGCCTTTTATATCTGCTTCGTTGCCGTGGCTATAGTGTCCAATGCATGGGAGCCGCCAGACCCACCCCATCCACATTCCCATGGTCACGCCCGTGGTCATGCCCATTCGCCCATGGAGGATCAGAAAAGCACTGCCATCACACATGACACCCCTGTGACGCGATACAAGAGTCATTTGGTGCAACAGCCGGGAGGTGACACGGATGATGAGCCTCCGCATCAGCATCAGCATCAGCATCAGCATCAGCATCAGCATCAGCATCAGCAGCAGAATGTGCAGCATCTACCCCAGCAGCAGCCATTGCTGCCATTGTTCCGATCCTCCTCGCCTCTCGCTCACCACCACAACGGCATTCACAAGCCACCTCAGCATGTCCTTGTGCATGTCTCTCGATTCTGGCGTCCGGCCCTCTGGACCCTCACCTCCTGGCTTGAAAAGGTGTTTACCTCAACGCAAATTGTAAAATATAGCTGGTTTCCCACATCACAACTTGTAACCCCAGGTCTCAATTGTCTTTCTTCCTCTCCCCCCCACCCCCAACACCCTTCTAATCTCTTACTCTAAAACTGCCTGCTATTTCGCTGTACCCCCAGCACCCCCTCTTCTTTCTCGCCTCCCCCCATACTCCCCTTTCCGTCCCCCCACCCCTCTTTCAGATGTATCCCCTCCTTCCCCCACCCCCTCCCTTCCCGCGTCGGCGCGTCTCTCCCCCTCTCCCCACTCCCCTTGCAGCTGCGTGCACGCCTGCACATGCTCTTTCAGATGTATCCCCTCCCTCCCCCAACCCCGCGCCTCTCTCTCCCGTTTTTCCTCCCTATCCAGCTGCGAGCGTGCCTACACGTCGTCTTTGACCCACTGCGCCTTGCCACCATCCCATCCATCGACCCCCCGTGCCTCTCCCCCTCTGTTCTCTTCCCCCCCTACCCTTCCAGCTGCGAGCGTGCCTGCACGTCGTCTTTGACCCGCTGCGCCTGGCCACCATCCCATCCATCGACCCCTCTGCATGGGACATCCGATACGCCACTGCCAACGTCGTCCTCTGCCCTCTCATCGCCATCCACACCACCCGCGCCCTCCTCCCCCCCGACTCCAACCTCCTCTTCTTCCTCCCGCCCCTCGACCCCCCCTCCTCCTTCTCCTCCACCTCCCTCTCCTCCCATTCCCCCTCCGCCTCCCCCGCCTCCTCCCTCTTCTCCTCCTCCTCCACCCTCTCAACCTCCTCCCTCGCCGTCCGCTCGTTCGTGCTCATTCAAAGCTCCCTCTGCGCTGCAGCGTATCTCCTCGCCACCCGTGCCTCAAGCCCCATAGGCGCACCCCGGTCCCTCATAGTCCCCGTTTCCTTTGCCATGTCAGTCTTCTGGATAGCTCTGACTGCCTCTGAGCTGCTAGGCCTGCTCTCCGCCCTTGGGATTATCCTGCACGTGTCGCCGTCCATCCTTGGGATTACTGTGCTCGCCTGGGGGAACTCCGTGGGCGATCTTGTAGCGGATGTGACTATAGCGAAGGCTGGGCATCCGACAATGGCGATTGCCGGGTGTTTTGCTGGCCCGATGTTTAATCTCATGGTCGGGGTTGGGTCGGCGTTGGCTGTCCGTAGCTGGGACTTGTACCCTGAGCCGTTGGTGTTGTATCACCACCCTAATGTGCTGCTGGCCCTGTGTTTTCTGCTGGGAGGAGTGCTTTCGTCCATTGCCTTTGTGGTGTGGTCTGGGTTTAGGGTAACTAGGACCTGGGGTGTCTGCCTGATTTGTATGTACTTGACGTTTGTGGTTGCTGCTGTTGCAATCGAGTCCTCGTTGCATTGAGCTAAGCTCAAGGTGTTAGTGATCTACTAGGAGCATGACAAACATTCATGGCATGGCATCGTCACTCGGTGTGACTGGAAGTACAAGAAGCTAATAGAGCTAATCTGGACAGATCTGGCTGAGAGCTGCTGCTTTTGCACTTATCCAACCCAACCAGGCCACCCTATCCGACACGGCTGGCCCTGCTGCTGCTATCACACACCACCTTGAATACCAGTAACTTCAAGACAACCCTAAGACTCACCAAGCGATACACAGTTGTGAGCGCCTGTGCTGCGAGCGGAGCACTCACTCACACCACGATGGTGAGCGTCCCGTCTTCGTCTGACATGAGGAGCTGACACTCATGCCCATCCTCCTCGCCCTCCCCGTCCCCACCCCCAACCCTGTCTGCTGCTTCTCCTCTCCAACTCCCTTCTGCACGCCCACAAGCTGTATGGTGGTAGGTCTTATAATATTCAGTCTGAGACTGCGTGTGGACACCTCTAGTTGCTGCTTCTTGTTCTTCTGCTAGTTGCACCGTCAGCACGAATGCCACCTGTGACGTCTCGCTACGTGTCACTGCACACGAAGGTTCATTCTGACACCTGCTGCTGACGTGTCATGAGTCATGTGACCTTGGGAGATACTATCGCTATGCCTGGATCTGCCTTCCTGACGCAGCCCTACAGCAGGAAAGGCATCTCCAGATTCTGCATATCTCTGCAGCACATCCTGTCGCATGAAGTCTGTTTCCCCATCGATGGTCTCAATTAGCTCTGATAGTGCCAACTCGGATTCGCACAGGCTCGCAAGCGGTTGACTAACGGACGTCATTGCTCCAGTCCCCGCTGCTGCTCCCAAATTGGAGGGGCGAGGAGCCATGGCCTCATCCGAAACCCGAAAGAGGCTTCGAGCAGAGCGGTTGATGCAGGAAAGACGGCCGGAGGGCGCTACAGACAGCACTGCTTGGCAGGTACCCTCCAGCACCGCGTTCAACCGCTCCTCACGCTCCCACCGCTGCCTCCGCTGCTGTATCCCCGCTACAACCTGCCCCACTGTCTTGGTTAGCACGTGCAGCTCTGTGACTAGAGCCTTGCTGTAGCCGCCCTCGCGATTGGTCACTGCGAACATGCCGACAAGACGAGAGCCTGAGAACAGCGGCACGCCAAGGAATGTCGTCATCGGCGGGTGCCCGGGCGGCACTCCCCTCGACCGCGGATCCGACGCCACGTCATTGCTCATAATGACGTCAGCGGTGGTAACCACCTTGCCCATGAGCGTGTTCATGTTGCCAAACACCAATCCCGAGGCCGCGTTGTCCGCGTACCACGCCTTGAGATACGGCGTCCACGCGAAGTTGGTGATGCTGTGCGTCCGAAGAAACAGCGACTCCTCGTCCTCTCTGCTGCCACCGCCGCCGCCGCTGCTGCTGTTGCTGTTTTTGCTGGTGCTGCTGCGGGCGCGGGGGCGGCGGAGGGCGCTGGAGATGCAGCCAGCGGAGGAGCGAGTGAGGTGCAGCAGCTGCGACAATAGGTAGTCTGCTACCTGATGGCCGTTCGGGGACTGCGAAGGGGGAGGGGGACGTGGGGGGGGAGAGGGAGAGGGGGGGAGGGGGGGAAAAGGTTGGGGGAAGAGGGGGAAGAGGGTGAGAGTCCGCCCGTTCTCCGCGTATCGCAGCACACACCATGTGTTGGGTCCCTGTAGGGGCGTCTAGGCTTGGATCGGTGCGACTCACCATGTCGCGTGCGAAAATGTCGTGCGCAGTAACAATTGTCGACAGCAGCTCGCGGATACAGATCCCCGCGCCCGCTTCCGCCATCCCAGGAAAGACCCGCCGCTTCCGCCCGCGCCGTGCCCCCCCCGCAGCCCGCTGGGCCCCGAACTCGTTCTCTCCAACGGCGCTTTAGCGGGGCGAGCGGGAAAGGATGCGAGCGGCGACACTGCGTTGACCGCCGCGTTGACCGATCCGTTGACCCCCGCGTTGACCGTTCCGTTGACCGTCGCGGAGAAGGGCGCGTAGGCGGAGAGTAAGCTGGCTTGGAAAGGCACGCGGAGGGGCCAGATCCTCTGCTTCCGACGAGGACGACGCGGAAAGGATGTCGTCGCGGCGACGACGACGACGGGAAGGAGGTGGCGGAGGACCGCGGAAGGCGACCTCGAAGGCGAGCGGCGCGGAGAGCGCGGTGGGGTCGCAGAGAGACGAGGAAGCGTGCGACGCGGTGTAGGACGAGTAGGTGGGTAGCGAGAATGACGGAGAGAGCGAAGCAGGCGGCGCCGGCGCCGGGTACGGGTAGTAGGACTCGGATTCAGGCACCTGCGGCTGAGAGTTGCCAGGCGACGCTGAAGCGGGCGACGTTGCATGGCACGGAAATGTGACGCCGCTTCGGCATCACCGTTTCTTGTTGATGGCGACGTCACGCCAGCATCAACGTTACCGGCTGCGTAGCTGTGGTACCCCTAATAGACTGTCGTATTGGGTGGGTCGACGGCGGAGATCGCGTAGCCGTCGAGCAGCCATGGAAGGGCGGGGAGCTTCGCAAGGATGGCGACAACTCAGCCGCAGGCGACAGTGACGACGACGATGAGCGACCGTTACCATCGCTTTGGCGACGGGTTCATCGCCGGACCATGATGATCCACGGCCGTTGGGGACCATGATGGGACAGATAGTCTGGTAGGAAACGCGGTGCGGTTGGTTTCGGGCCTCTTTAATCTCCTCCAGACAATGCAGGAACCTCTGCTGGCCCGACGACTTGCGGCATTCTGGGTGCGCGCCGCGGTTCGGCGGAGGATTCGGTGGGTGATCTTGTAACGGAGGTTTGCACGATAGGGTTAGCACGGACGACAGGCTCTTCGCGGGTTTGGTAGCGCCGAAATGCTTGATCACTGGAGGTGAGTCATGGTTGGGCTTCGCTGCGCGCTGCGACATGTCCGCTGCGTTAGGAGGCGACAGGTTATTAAACGACGGCGGAGTTTAAATCGGCGGATCTCTTCGAAAGATGGCGTTTCCAAGCAGGAAGATACACGCCCTGTGGTCTCAACTCAACGGCGAGCCAGGTGTGATATGGACGCGTCTGTGTGGGTGACGCCTGTCGTTCAACTTCTCCCTGAAGGATGAGTGTGTGTGGTTCGGGACTCATGAAATCGCGACCTAGGCCCAGACTGGATCGAAGGGAGAAATGCAGGAAGGAGGGGAGGAAGGAAATGCAATGCAGGCGACAGCACGAGCGAGCGGGCATTGCAAGGAGAGGAGACAAAGCAGGATGTGAGGTGGATAGGATGAAGCTGTCGACTTGACGCGCCACCAGAAGCAGCCCCTAGCCTGTTGTTGCCTTTCGTTGGCGTTGCTTTCGGCTGTTTCATTTCCAGCACAGAAAAGGAGCACGTCACAGCAGCAATGATCGTTTGTTGGCGCAATGGCGCGCGGATGGCGGCGAGACAAATGGGGCGAATGTCAATGTGTGTTTGTTTCCTCGAGGTCCCTCACGAATGCGACGCGGAACGTGTGAATTGATGCGATGCGATTTCGGTTATGTTAGAGATGATGTCAGCTAAAGCGTGCCCTGCCCAGGCTCCACTTTCGCTTCCACGTGATATATTTGATGACCTTTCTTTCTGAAAGGAGTTAGTGTTTCTTAACGTTATTTTGGTACCGCACATGTTCAGACTGTAGAAATCGGCTCCACGCATATTTTCAATGATTTTTATGACTGTCGTCTGCACTAAATATGTCAGGGGTCAGATAGGGCAGCTGAAGGAAATGCAATATGTCATCGTGAGGCAGCCAAGTTTTGTCTCGTACTTCAAGAGCTGGATGAGAAGAGATTCTCTCATAACCACATATTGAATATCTGCCAACCTAGATTTTCAACGACGCTATTGGTTCACAAGGTACTGAACTGTAATGGCTGCTGTCCCGTTATTAGGCATGGGAGCTAAGTCAAGACAGGGTACAAGCTCCTCGAATAGAGTATACGTGATATAGACATTTTCAGCCTCGCAAGATGAGATTTGAATTTCTGTGTATTTTTCTTTCTGATGTGCGCCTCATGATAGGTTTGATAATTTATATGAATTTAAATCATTGTTTACCACAAATAACTGGTGCTTCAAATGAGCATATTTTGCTTCAAATCCTGGAATGGTTCTGGTAACGCTGTAGTAGCCAGCTCCGATTCTCTGTTTTTGTTGACCAGAGAGCAGCTCTGTGAGCGCTACCCAACAGCTCATAATGCGTATATCGCAGTCGTCCCCTTCATCATTCGTCGTACTAGTTTCCAACTTCTACCTTCCTCCGTCCCCTCCGCTGTCCCCAGCGATTCCTTCTCCCCGCTCTCCTACGTCAGTTTCCGAAGTTAGGAGATTTTATCAAAGCAAAGAGTTGGCATATCAAAGACGAGCAATCATGGCCGAACAAGGAGCAGGTAGTGACGATCCACGTTATACCTCAATACACTGCAACATCGTACATCATCAGGCACTCACTACCCTAATGATAGACTTCCCTGTGCGAGCCATTGCTGTCGATAAGTATTTTCCAGTACGCATCTCTGTGTTACCTATTCGCAGCTCCGGTCAGGTCTTTTGCACAAGCAGCTGCGACAGAGGAGGTCGCACAACCGCTGCGATCCGTGCAGATCGACGGCACTCGTGAGTGTCGCAGCGTCGTCCACTTCGTCCTTAATTTCCTTCAAGCCTCTCACTTAGGCTTAGATTCGGCCGCCCCCGTTCTCGCGTAGTCTACTACCCCGACTGCCCTAACCCTGATTTTAGCATGGTTTATTATTCTCTTCCTTTTCGTTCGGTACGAATTTCTAGGTTGCGATGAAGATTGACAAGCACTGTAGCGACTGGGCTCCTCAGCTTGTAACGGGTCTGCTGCTTGGTCTCGATATTGGCAGCACTCTTGAAGTCACCAATTGCTTTCCCTTTCCCGTGAGTGATCTTCATCCCTTACCTCTTTTTTTGCACCCCTTCTTGCTTCCATTGCTCCGCTGTGCGCAAAAGGTCAGGGGAGTCTGTCACATTTACAGTTTTTCTTTATGCTTGGAAGTCTGTAAGGGGAGAATTTGGCCTGGGATGGGCGTCTGGCCCTTGGATTGCAGATGCTTCGCCGCGGAATCGCGATGTGTTGTTGTTTTCAGTCGCGCGCTTGAGCTATGCGTGTGGCGCGTGTGTTCTCATTTTGGGTGTGTGTTTGGGAAATGGGATTGGTGCCGGCGTGCGTGTGATGCATATGTGTGAGGCCGTGTGCGCCATGGCACATGGCAACATGCACGGCATTCCGCATGGCCTCATGGACGGCATGATACGTGCCACGATGCATGGTGTTACGCGGCATGATGTATGGCATGACATATGGTATGGCATGGGGTGTGGCATGGTGTCGCGTGTTCCGCACTCGCAGAGCCGGGGAGGCGAGGAGGAGGAGGAGGAGGAGGCGGACGGTGCCATGTATCAGCTGGAGATGATGCGCTGCCTGCGCGAGGTCAATGTCGACAACAACACCGTTGGCTGGTAGGTCGTATGTTCTACCTGGGGTGCGTATGCCCCACAAGTGCCATGTATCAGCTGGAGATGATGCGCTGCCTGCGCAAGATCAAAGTTGACAACAACACCGTCGGATGGTATGATGGTCGGATTTCATATGCTCTTGGGTGTGGTGTAGTGCGATCAAGTGCGGTGTTCAACCCAGCCCCTCTTCTCCTCCCTCTGCTTTCTCTTCACTCCCCCCCGCCCCTCTCTCAGTTCTTGCTTCTTTTCTCCCATCTTCCCGCATTCCCCCGTTTCTCCCCGTCCCCTCCCCCATGCTCCTCACCTCCTCCCCCCCCCCCCCCCCCCCCCCCCCCCCCCCCCCCCCTCTCTCCCCTCCCCCGCAGGTACCAGTCGACGACGCTGGGTTCGTTCCAGGCGGCGGACATGATAGACACGTTCGCCAGCAGCGTTTTCTTCCGTGACCTGAACTGAACCCCCTCCTCCCCCGTGTCCCACCTTTCCTCCCGTGACCTGCGCCACCCTCCCCTTCCCCCCAACAGGTACCAGTCGACAACGCTGGGTTCCTTCCAGACGGCGGACATGATAGAGACGTTCGCGAGCTACCGGGAGAACATCAAGCGCTGCGTGTGCCTCGTGTACGACGCCGACCGGGCGGCCGTCCGCGGGACTGTGGCGCTCAAGGCGCTCACTCTCAAGGCGCCGTTCCTCGAGATGTTCAAAGCGGGCGCGCTGACGGGGGAGAAGTGAGTGTGTGGTTTGGGGGGGAGGGCGGGTGGTGGTGGTAGGAGTGGGCGGGGGACAAGTGAGTAGGCGCCCTTCCTTGAGATGTTCAAAGCGGGCGCGCTCACGGGGGAGAAGTGAGAGGGGGAAGAAAAGGGTTGTTTGTGGGGGGTGTGATGGAGGGCGTGTTGGGAGGGAGAAGGACAGATGCAGGAGGAGGAGCAAGTCTGGCAGCAGACCGGTGAAATCTTATCACAAGGTATTCACTCGGGTACGGTACGGGTGTATCACAGGTTGCTTCAGACAATCATTCCCCCAAGGCACCGTTTCTGCCAGTGTCCAAATTCCTGCACCCCCTTGGTGCTTGCTGCCGCCACTGCTGCCTTTTGAGTCGACTCAATAGTCACCTTGAGTCGACTCAATAGTCACCTTGAGTCGACTCAATAGTCACCTTGAGTCGACTCAATAGTCACCTTGAGTCGACTCAGTAGTCACCTTGAGTCGACTCAATAGTCTCCTTGA